TCCCTTATCATTATTGTATTCTTTCTACGAAACGTATAGGCAAATCCCGACTATTGTTTTGCTCGCGCCTCTTCAGGCCCGAACCCGCCCGCCGCGGCCGCTTCTTCAAGCCTGCCGCGCGGCCCGGGATAACTTGCCCCGATCATTATAAACATTATTTAGTGATTATATAATAAACGATACTATAACGATACACAACGCATTGTTATTCACGATCACGGACGTCCCGGAAAGACGCTCCGTATCAACTGGCGCCCAACTAGTGGTTCACCCACACCCAACTACTCAAAAAAACAAAAAAAACGACGAAAACTTTACTAGTCGGTACGGCGAACGCGAGTACCCAACGATAAGAAAAATACGCAAGATTCTACATCGAAAGACAATTTAAACTAAAAAACCGGCATAATGAATACCAGAAAAAACAAACGAAATCAAAATCAACTTGGACTAGAAGGGGAAGTACAGTTATTGGAGAAAACTCGGCAATTGGAGGAAAAATTAGAAACATTAGAAATCACTGCACAACAAATGCAGGAAAAATTCGCAAAATTAGAAAAACAATACGAAACACTTCGACAACTCGTTAAAGATACGGATTCGAAAACATTAATAAAATCAATGCAGCTGGAAAAAGATATTCAAGCATTGCAAACAAAGTTAACTACAAAAAATGACGGGAACACGACAAACAACATCACTAAAACCATAGTAGACATCACGGCACCTACATTTAGTGGAGAACTAAAAGAAGAGCACCCAAAACAATTTTTAAAAGAAATAAACAACTATTTGGAACACAAACAAGTCACCACAATTAAAGAGAAAATGATAGTCATAGAAAACAGCCTCAAAGGAAAGGCAGCAAAATGGTATGCAATGATCAAAGACGCAGCATTAGACGAACCAACATTTAACGAGCTATTTTTAAAACATTTTTTCTCTGAAAGTCATCAATGGGACATTTTCATCAAATGCACCGAAGCAGGAAAAAAACCAATTAAGAAGGATTTCCAGGAGCATTTTCACCACTGGATGGCAGAATTAAAACATCTTGACTCACCAAAGATGAGTGAGGAACAAGCGATCAGTCTAATTACAAAGCACTTCCCGATATCCATTCAAGCATACATACAAACAACTAATGATAGAAAATTTTTACCTATTTGGGAAAAATTGGGCGAATTAGATAATAGTACAAAACTAGAAGAGGAGATACCAGCCCAGAAACCATCCATACGCACATACAACAGACAGAACAACGCGTACAACAGAGTACCATTCCAAACAGGTAGCCAGAATCAAAGAACCACAACAGACTTACAAAAACCTTACACAAAGATAGCACAGAACCAGGAAAACAACCACAAGCCCAGCATCAGGCAACTAACCACAGAGCAGATGGAGTTCAATGACAACACTATAATCCGCGGTGGGGAAGAATTGAACGAAAGCGATACTGAAGCAAAAAACTGGGAGCAGGGGACGGTAGAAGTAGATCATCACCAGTCATAAAAACCCTCGATCTAAATAACAAAAAAAACCAACCACCGGACAAATCAATTAAGTTATTAAAAGCAAAAGATTTAACGAAAGACGAAGATTTCGATATCACACTCAACAACATACAACAACCAGGATGCCCATACATAAAAATCATTATAAACAACAGAGAGTACGAAATGCTGGTCGACTCAGGTGCTGAAATATGTGCAATTTCAGAGGAATATTACAAGGACATAAATCAAAACGACAAAAATATACCAGTCATCCCACTAACAGGACTCAGCATACACAACGCAACAGGAAATAAACCAACGAAAGTAAATAAACAAATCCTATTACCCATCGAGATAGAAAAAAAAAAACAGATACATACACCATTCATTGTAATAAATAACTTAAACGAGAAAGGGATATTAGGCAATGATTTTTTGGAAATAAACAAATCAACGATCGACTACGAAAAAAGAAAGTTAACAATGAAGATAGACGACAAAATCTATGACATACCGTTTTTAAGGAAAAACGGGAAACAACCAATGCACCTACGAGCAATATCCACGCAACCAATCATGGAACCTATCGAACAAACACAGCTCAACACACTCCCAGAGTGCATTCAAGAGAAACTAGACAGATTAATACGGCAATATCCTAGAGTATTTCGAGATACACCAGGGGAAATAGACGGTTATGAGTGCAAAATAAGATTGAAAAACGACAAACCAATCAACCAAAGACCATATCCTATTCCAGTTACTAAACGCGAAGCAGTCGAAAAAGAAGTTCAGCGTATGGTAAACATGGGGATAATTAAACAATCGAGATCACCATACTCGGTACCGATAGTACCAGTTTTCAAAAAAAACGGTGAGGTAAGATTATGCTTGGACGCTAGAAAGATCAACATTGATAAATGTCAATTCTTTCGAAAACAAGTGTCATTCCTAGGACATATCATCTCAACCGAGGGAATAAAAATGGATATGGCCAAAATAAACACAATTCAAAACTTTAAAACACCAAGCAAGAAAAAAGAAATCCAAAGTTACTTAGGATTCTTGAATTTCTATAGAAAATACGTAAAAAATTTCGCACATATAATAGAGCCGTTAATTGAATTAACCAGGAATAATGCAAAGTGGACATGGGAGGAGAAACATCAACAAGCTTTTGAAGAATCAAAAAAGGCATTTTTAAAGGAGGTAATAATAACATTCCCGGACTTCACGAAACCACTATATATCAATACAGATGCATCAAGCGTAGCAATAGGAGGTGAACTATATCAGCAATTGGACAACAACGAAAGAGCAACACTCGGCTATGCAAGTAGGACACTCAAACCGCCCGAAACCAGATATACAACAACTGAAATAGAGGCATTAGCTCTTGTATATTGCTGCAGCAAATTTCGACAATACATACTAGGCCACAAAACAATCATACAGACAGACCACCACGCGTTAATCTTTATGAAGAGTTGTAGGCTGACTAATGGACGTTTAACCAGATGGACATTAGCACTACAAGAATATGATTTGGACATTCGATATATTGCAGGAAAGGATAATATAATAGCAGATACACTTACACGGTACCCCAGGTTCAACGAGGAACGGGATGAAGCCAGAATATCAATCAACAAAATAAGGAAAGCAGAATATAGTCCAGAATTAAAAAAATCCATCGATAATTTGGCAATTCTACAGAAAACAGATAAAAGAATAAATAAAATGATGAGTAAGGAAAATGAGTACATAAAGATAAAAGAAAACATAGTTTTTGTAAAAGACAAGACAGAAAACAATTGGCGTGTGGTCATACCAGAGAAAATCGTACATATGTTAACATCAGAAACCCATGAAATAATGGGACATGCAGGACGATATAAAACATACTATGCACTAAAAGGAATGTGCATATTCAAAAATATGCACAAAATCACGGCGGCAGTAATAAAAAATTGCGACAGTTGTCAAAGAAGCAAACCCATCAACTATCAAGCAAGTGGACCAACAATATCTCAGAAACCGAAAACACCGTTTGAAACAGTTTCAATAGATTTAATGGGACCCCTTCCCATGGGCCGAGGAGGAACTCAATACATCCTAGCAATATTGGACACATTCTCCAAATATATTAGATTATATGCATTAAAAAAAGCATCGGCAAAAGCAATACTAAATAGGATCGAAGTAGACTATACACCAAGAACAGGCAAACCACAGTCAATATTGACGGATAACGGAACACAGTTTACGGGAAAATTATGGCAGAAAAAACTGAACGACATGAATATCAAAATAAAACACTCCACTAAATATCACCCTCAATCGAATCCAGTTGAGAGATATAATCGAGAAATAGGAAGACTTTTGAGGACATACTGCCACAATCAACATACCAAGTGGCCAAATTGTCTAGAGAAAATTGAAGAGTGGATGAACAAAGTACGATCCGAAGTTACGGAAATGACCCCATGGGAGATAATCAAAGGAGAGACACCGAAACAACCACTAGAGGATATGATCAACTTTCCGAGGCCGAAACAATCAAAAAAAGAAGACATAATACAACTTGTAGCATCCAGGATCGAAGAAAAAGCAAGAAAACGAGAATCAAAAAAGAAAAACCAAAGCAATATAATATATGAAAAGGGACAAAGTGTGTTAGTAAGAGACCACCACTTATCGAATACAGATAACAAGGAAATAAAAAAGTTATTCCACATGTACAACGGACCATTCATCATAACCAAAGTCATAAGTAAAAACACGCTAGCCGTGAAGAACATACACTCGGGACGGGAAGAACTCATTAACGTGTCCGAGGTTCGTCCATACTATGTTATGGACAAACACAGCAATTTATAAAAAACAACAAGGGGAGCCAATGAAAGAGATGACAACGTTGACGAATCAGAACCAAGAATTTGGTATATCACAAACTATATAAGATCAGTCAACAAGAATCATAGTCATCAGTTCAAGAAATGGCACCCATCAACCCAGAACGAGAACAGGCAAGACGGGCATTATACAAGGCATCAATCCGCAGACGTGTCGCTAACGATTCAACACATTTACCATCGGTTCAGTTACTTCCCCGATGACAAATCTGGGGGGGGGAGCTGTAACGGGATAAACCGTCACTATATTAAAATGGTCCTTTTCAGGACCACCAAACACAACAGTATGGCAACATAATGCGACACAAGAAATAAACGCGACACACTAGAATAAGTAGTTTGCCAACAGGAAAGTTTCACGGAAATAACTAGCAAGAACCACATTAACGAAGCGAACACCAATGGGTCAAGGTGTGGTTATTGCTTATCAAAGCAACCATTCCCGACCAATCACAGGACAACAAAGGGAAACAAATAGTATATATACCGGGACAGTTCACCGGTCAAATAAGGCCCTCACACAGCCAACTACAAACAATGTCCAGAATTCTTAAAGACTAAAGCCGCTAAGCAAGCATCCCTACCCATGTTCAATCAACAACGCGTTCAAACAACTCTTTATCAACCTCCAGCAACCATCACTCCTCCATCTAATGAAGATGCTATAATCCGCCCTCAGTCATACGCAACTGTAGTTGGCCCTAAGCCTTCAAAATTATCAAGCCAGCCTGTCAATCCAGAAGCCATCCAATTGCTCACTAATCTGCTGTCAGAGCTCACAGCCGGCTCCGCCAACATCAGAAACGTTCTCATCTCTACTCTAAATGCTCTTATCCCCCTTCTCCTATCTCACAATGTCTGACACAAGAATCTTGTTTTGGAACTGTCAAGGCGTTGCTCGGAAACGCCTTGAACTTCTCGACCTAGTCCAGAGGAAAAAGGTTGACATTATTCTTTTAAATGAAACTCACCTTGCTTCAAATAGCCAATTTAATCTCCCTAACTTCTTTTCTTACGCAACCAATAGACCACTAGTGAATGGCCAACCTCCAGCCGGAGGGACTGCTGTCCTAGTTAACAAGAAATTTATTCATCACCATGTCAAAATCATCACAACATCCATCAACAATACGGCAATCGTTATCCAAATCAATGACGCGGAACTTACTCTTGTCTCGGCTTACAAAAGCCCAGGCACCCAACTTTTAACATCAGACTTGGACATCATTCTAGACTCAGGTCAAAACGTTATAATCGCAGGCGATCTTAATGCAAAACATCTAGCGTGGAACAGTAGGTCCACAAATACTGCAGGTAGAACATTATTTAATTATCTAGACTCGAGGCTAGACACAACTGTTACAGCTCCTACCTCTCCAACTCGTTATCCAACAAACCCAAATCACAATCCAGACGTTCTTGACATCGCCATAATAAAGGCAGGTAGTCTTAGCTATCATTTGGAGAACCTTCCAAATGAACTGTCATCTGACCATTCTCCTATTCTGCTAGACATCCATCATCGTTCTGTTCACATATCTCCGCCTAAACCTCGCTACATCACCGACTGGATTAAATACGAACTTGATATGCTCTCCAAGCCATTTTCTCTCCCTGAAATTCTCACAGAGGAACAGGTTGACTCAGCTATTCAGCATCTCTCCAATTTCATCTCCGACAACGTAAAAATCAACTCCACAATCCACAACCCATCTGACAGGAAAACTGACCTTCCACTATCGATCCAATTCCAAATAACCAAAAAACGCAGGCTAAGATCCATCTGGCAGAGGACCAGGAACCCGGATATAAAAACGCTACTTAACCGACAAAATCGTTTAGTCAGCGATCTCCTACAATCAAATCGCGACGAAGAGTGGTCCAATTTCCTGTCCTCAATCGATATTGGTCCCCAAGGGTGGTCCCGTCTTTATAAGCTCAATAGACGACTTCTCAGGAAATCTCCATCTTCCCATCCACTTAAGGACGATCATGGTTTCCTCCACTATGATTCACTCGAAAAAGCCAACATCTTCGCTTCAAGCATGGAAAATCAATTTTCTCCTCTGGCTAGTACATCGTGGGTAGACGAAATAGTACAAGACACCCTGGAACAACACTTAAACTCGATATACGACAAAAACATCTTCTTTTCTCCAGGCGAAATCTGGAACAATCTTCGCAAACTCCCCAATAAAAGCGCCCCTGGGCCTGACCTTATATCTAATTGTGCTCTCAAACGTGGGGGGAAAAAACTTGCGATCTACTTGTGTAAAATATTCAACTCTTGCACTCGTCTAGAATATTTTCCCAACCAGTGGAAAATTGCTGATATAATTATGATTCCTAAGCCGAAAAAAGACCCAAAAATCCCAACCAACCACAGACCTATATCTCTCCTGAACACGATGGGTAAACTATACGAGAAACTCTTACTCTCCAGACTTAAAAGTCACATATTGCCTCAAATCAGACCTGAACAATTTGGCTTTCGCCCCCAGCACAGCACAGAAATTCAACTAGTCAACTTCATAGACAACATAACAAATAATATGAACAGAAGGCTAAAAACAGCAGTAACTCTCCTTGATATAGAAAAAGCTTTTGATAAGGTATGGCACGAGGGCCTTTTATTCAAACTCCTGGCTATGCAAGTACCTCAACAGCTGGTCTCTATCATTCAGTCATTTCTCAAAGAAAGGAAATTCTGCATAAAAATCGACGATACCAGATCTTCCCCCAAGACCATAAGAGCTGGAGTCCCTCAGGGGTCATGCCTCTCTCCGCACCTATTCTCCGTATACATCAACGATATGCCAGTATCCTCCAAAGCCAAGATAGCCCTCTTCGCTGACGACACATTATTTTACGCTGATAGCATATCCCAATCGTGTGCAATTAAAAACCTTCAAGCCCAGATTGATCTCTCGATCGAATGGTTCCATCAGTGGAAAATATCAATCAATCCACTCAAGACCTCAGCCATTATGTTCAGCAACAAGCAGACTAGAGCGGGAGATTGCGTAAAATTTGGCGACACTCCCATCAAATGGTCAAATAACATCAAGTACCTAGGGGTCACCATAGATAAAAAGCTATCTTTTAGCACTCACGTAAAAAACATGATCACCAAGGCTAAAGGAGCCAAACATTCCCTTTTTCCCCTTATTAATAAACGCAGTCCTCTTTCAACCATTTCAAAACTACATATATTCAAAACCTACATCAGACCTATCCTGACCTATGCGGGACCTGCATGGACGGCAAATATTTCCAATAGCAGCTGGGCAAAACTAGAGGCAGTTCAGTCTACTACCCTGCGTCAAATTACTGGACTGGACTGGTATGTCTCCAACGATACCATCAGATCATCCTTAAAGACTCCATCACTAAAAGATCACTTATCAAAAAACAAAATTTCACTTACTCAACGCATCAAAAACTCAAGCTTCAAGCACATCTCCGACATTCTCTCCAAAAACTCACCCAAGGAGCACTTCATCAAAAAACCACTTTCCCAATAATAGCTAATCTTTAAGCCTAAACTCACCACTCTCAATTCTGTACTTCCTCCTCTCTGTAAGAAGCTAAATGCTTGAAACAGAGTACTCTAACAAAGCAATGCAAATGCCGGTCAAATCATCTTCCACACCAGTCTTCAACATATCTTCTACAAGTCAACAAGCACTATAGAAGACCCGAAGACCTGAAGACCAGAAGACCCGAAGACTAACGACGCAGCAGCAACACCGACCTGAACGACGCCGACGAAGCTGATTCGACCTAGCCAGTCCACGACGACGCACCCTGAGCACACCGGTCTAGCGTGATCGCTCGATACCGCCGAGACTCAACAGTACCCGGCATACCTGGCTAACAAGCGCCACTTCACGGACCAGCGACGCCAAGCCTACCGTGTGCATCCAGCGATCGACGACAACGGATAGCCGCCACACCGGGACCTGATTAACCCACCGACGGCCGCGTATAATATAATTATACTCCGACGATCCATTACTGTCAAGTCCACCCGTTCAATCGAGTCCAGTCACGCCGTTGGACGAATACCAAGACACGCCGGGAACCGACTTCGCGACGTAGCTTGGCCAATCGACGATTCAGCAAGCCGACACAAGTAATACCACGTTCCCCCCTACGGTGAGCTTATTCGAGTTTCACCGCGAGGAAGAACCGAACCCACACGACTTGCTCGAGTCCGTGCACGGACGGTTCCTACTCTCCCTTATCATTATTGTATTCTTTCTACGAAACGTATAGGCAAATCCCGACTATTGTTTTGCTCGCGCCTCTTCAGGCCCGAACCCGCCCGCCGCGGCCGCTTCTTCAAGCCTGCCGCGCGGCCCGGGATAACTTGCCCCGATCATTATAAACATTATTTAGTGATTATATAATAAACGATACTATAACGATACACAACGCATTGTTATTCACGATCACGGACGTCCCGGAAAGACGCTCCGTATCATGCTATGAATGTAGGGATTTTGAGAGCACATGGTAATAGGCACAATTAGAAGATTGCATACGAAATTCTATAGATAATATAAACCAAAACACATTTATTGTCATCGTGATATCGACTGTAAAACACGACCCCCGAAGAATTATAAACCACTCGGGAGAACCAGCTTCAGCGATCTACTCTAAGTGTTTGAATATTTATACAATAAGCGTAGATAATTCAAATAACATTAGGCAGGTAGGTATAACACAGTAGTAGGGCGATTTTACTCTGAAATTACCAAAAAAACCAACATAATTTTACACGATTCACAGACACGTGAACACACACACGCTCATACACTTACAAATAAACCTACTGTGACACATTGTCGAGCACCGACGTCGTAGAGGGGTTATTGAACTGCCATGCCCCGAAGGACACAGGCAACCGGTTCGCCAGACGCGTCCCTTGCCCGTTAAAGGAGGTCATCAACCCACGTATTCACGGTACATTACGTGCCATCTTATTATACCATATTTATTATACACATGTATCTCACTAAAAACTATTACCTTCCCCTACCTCGTATTTTCTCCTTACTACAGCACCTATATTTAGCTATTATAATGCATAGGTATGAAGTGTCAATTTTACTTTTCCAGTATCGATCTTATATTTTCCGGGCCGACAGAAGATAACTGGCGCACTGCACAAGCGTCAGGAATAAATAAATAATTATTATATAACCGACTTATAATTTACGGTTGTTTATGATTATGGTTTACCTACAACACTAATGTCGGATGTATCGTGTGGCTGCACGGGTATAGGTATACCCAGAATTTAATTTCATAGTAGGTTACACGTGAAAAGGGTTAATTCCATGTAAAATTAATGAGCATATAAAATAAACCACTGACCCGTCTGTATTTTAATATTATAATATAATAAGTTAATTCTGCGAAGGCTGAAAACATAATAAATTAGGTGACTTCGATGACTATATAACACACTTATATTTTTTCTATCAGTATATTTTATTATCCTGTGTACTCAAACCATTTGTAGTACCTATTTAATTTTAAGCACTATTATAAGTTATAATACAATATTTCGGAAATAATCATTCAAGTCACATACTATTTAATATTGTTTTTTTTTTTTTTATCTCAACATGTAAAACAAAAATGTTGTCTACCAGCTTGTTGAAACTATACGGAATAAAAATAATTGTCGTAACCATTTAAACAGTTCATATAACCTTAAATTTGAACTTAGTAAAGTGACAGCTAAGCAATCAGTTAGAATCACTATTGTAATTTAGTGAAAACAGCTGTAATCTATATCTTAGTTGAATTACCTTAGTTAAATAGTTATTCAAGCTTAAATATTTGCGT